ATGATGTTCTTTTTTTTTTGCAGTTTATAAATTTGTCTTTCTCAATTTTCATATATCGTTAACGACGGATCTGTACAATATGCAGACACCGCCAATGCTATTCTTGCGTCGTTAACTAGAGTATAAGCCTTCGATGGTTACCTTCAGTGTTGTATTCAGATTTTCTCTTTCGAACAAGCGATTTAAAACTTCAGGGCAGTGAAAACCTATTTTTTAAGAGCACAGACTCATATTGTATAGTACAATAACCATAAAGTCCAAAAGGAAGATATTTCAATCTTCAGAGCGACGCCGCTCTCTCTCTCTGCCTTCACGCTGGATAAAATAATGGTTGCCTTGATTTTAATTGTAAAAGATAACGATAGTTAACTTGCATTTATTTGTGAAAAATCTTGTATAATTAACTAAATTGATTATTTAGTTTTCTTTTTTACGTTTCTCGGAACCGATCAAGTTATGAACTACATTAAATATATTATCAAGTGAATTTTACCGATTTCTGTTTCAAATAATACAGCAATTTGATATATCGTGAACTATTGAGTCTATTTAATCTGTTCAATACACTCATTGAACACTGTTCAGCAGTGACATCCATTGATTATCGATTGTTATTCGTTGTGCAATAGTTGTGTAAATTTATTCAGTCTGTCTGTCATGTTAGTAGAAGAGAGAGAGAATAGGTCATTCATTATCTTTCTTGTCATATTTACTCAGTTATCATCAAGCAAATAAAGCAATCGACTATTCTTTTCTTTTCTTTTCTTCTTTACAATATGCCGGGACTTACTGATGAAATACTCACTGAAATTCGTGATGGTAATAAAAAGAAAACGAATTTGAAATCAAAAAAAGTCTTCTTTTTTTTTCTCTTTTACAGTCTTTAGTTTATATGATGATCGAGGAGATAATCATATACCAAAGCATTATTTAGGCGAAGCACTTCGAGCATTAGGACTTAATCCAACTGAAGCTGAAATTCGTCATCTTTTAACCGATCTTAATCGTGTCGAACGTTTATCTATGCAACAATTCCAAGTTATTTTTGAACGACTTAATCGACAAAAAGATTATGTTGTACCTGCAGAAGAATTTATTGATGGTTTACGTGTTTTTGATAAAGACGGAAATGGTTTAATACCAGCAACAGAATTACGTCATTTACTTACTACACTAGGTATGAAATAATTCTAAATAAACCAAAAAAAAAATATGTGCATTAATAAATTCATATATATATGTGTAGGTGAACGATTAACAGATGATGAAGTTGAACAACTTATTTCGGAATTTGAAGATAAAAAAGGAATGATTATGTATGAAGATTTTATTAAAGCAGTACTTCAACGTTAAAATATAAAGAATGAAAAAAAACAAAAGAATTTAATTATGTATATTATGAATACTCCTTTATTCTTAGTTTATTTATCTATATTTCAGATAGTTTTCTTTTTTTTTT